AGATGCAATTTTTATTAACATGCTGACTGAAAATGGCCTATTTGGGAAATTTGGTTATTATCTTTCTCTCCTGATTTCTCAGAAGGTCAAATAACAACTTAATTTTGGTTTGGTGATGTGAAGCTTTAGTATAAGTGATGCCATTTTGTTTTTTTAGTCTGGTCTGTTGGGGCCTAGTGCAGGAGCTTAGTCCTAAACAATGACCTTCTATAGTTTTTGTTTAATAGGTGTGCAAAGAGCAGCCACTGAAATGTCTTAAGGAAGAGGATATATACTATGGTGTGCAGTTTAAAAAGTAACTATTCTTGATTTCTGTCTTTCAGAATCAAAGCAAAACATCTTAAGTCCCTCTCATCTCTTTTGTGTCAGTCAAGTTTTCTTCTTCTAGCCACTCAATTAAGAATATGGGTTTTGAAGATGGTTAGAACTTGGTTCATATTAGCATCCTGGCCTTGGACAAGTATCTTCATTGCTCTAAACCAGATTTGTGAGATAGGAATTGTAATTCCTACTTCTAGATGGTGTTGTAATGATTATATGAATTAGTTCTTATAAAGAACCTAGAACATTGGCTGTCACAATGGGGAAGAAAATTCAGACTATTTTTTTCAAATGTTTGACACAATTTTATTTAGTCAATAAAGGCTGACAACATGCATACCTCTGTTACATATACTGTGTTTTTTTCAGCTATTACCCTATTTATCCTATTTATGTATTTCTGGCAAGAGATGTGAATGGTCTAAGATTTTTCCTGACTTGGAAGCAAGTAAGTTAGTCTGCCACAGTTTGATAGATAATGGCAGAAGACCTGGGATTGCTTGACAAAAGACAAAGAACTTTATTATACATGGGAGAATAGGCGGCATAAACTTTATATGTGCATTGATTCCTCTTGCCCCCCAAATCCCACAGGGACAACATAGAAGGGCCCAAATAAATACTGCACGTGCATCAGATTTCTGTCACACCTGAGGAACACCAAGTTTAAGGAATCTGAATCTTTTATTTTATTTTTTCCCAGATTTATTTGAGGTATGAGTGACACATAAAAATTTTATATATTAAAGCTTTATCAAGGTATGATTGACAAGTAAAAATTATATAATGTGATATTTTGATGTAAGTATACATTGTGAAATGATTACTAAATGATATACTCATCATGTCACCTAGTTACCTCTGTATGTGTATGTGTGTGGAGACAACACTTGAGATCTACTCTCTCATCAAATTTCAAGTATACAGTGCAGTAGTATTAACTATAATCACCATACTGTATATTAGGTCTCCAGAACTTACTCATCTTATAAATGAAGGTTTGTATCCTTTGATCACTATCTTCCTCTGTCCCCCCAACCCAGGCTTGGTAACTACCATTCTGCTCTTTGTTATTATGACTTCAAATATATTTTTGGATTCCACATATAAATGAGATCATGCTGTGTTGTCCTTCTGAGCATGGCTTATTTCACTTGCCATGGTATCCTCTCGCTTTGTCCTTATTGTTACAAATGAAAATATTTCCTTCTTTTTTAAGGCTGAATAAAATTCCATTATGTATGTGTACACACACACACACACACACATATATACATACACACAATATATATACTGTATTTTCTTTATCCATTCATCTGTTGACTGACAGGTTGTTTCCATATCTTGGTTACTGTGAATAATGCTGCAATAAACATAGGAGTGACAATATTTCTTCAAAATATTGATTTCATTTTCTTTGGACATATATCCAGAAGTATGATTGCTGGATGGTATGATAGTTGTATTTTAAATTTTTTGAGAAACTTCCATACTGTTTTCTATAATGTCTGTACTAATTTAGGTTCCCACCAACAGTGTATCAGGGTTCCTTTTTCTCCACATCATCACCAACAGTTGTTATCTTTTGACCTTTTAATAATAGCCATCCTAATAGGTGTGAAGTGATATCTCATTGTGATTTTTATTCGCATTTCTCTGATAATTAGTGATGTTGAACATTTTTTCATATATGTATTAGATATTTTCATGTCTTTTTTGATAAATATATATTTAGATTCTTTGCCCATTTTTATTAGAATTACTTGTTTTATTGTCATTGAGTTGTAGGAGTTCCTTATATATATTGCGTGTTGACTCCTTGTCAGATATATGGTTTACAAATATTTCCTCGCATTCCATGGGTTGCCTTTTCATTTTGTTGATTACTTATCTGCTGTGAAGAAACTTTAGTTTGATGTAGTCCTAGTTGTTTGTTTTTGCTTTTGCTGCCTGTGCTTTTGATGTCAAATCAAAAAATTCCTAGGTCAGACCAATGTCAAGGAGTTTTCATCTGTTTTCTTCTAGGAGCTTTATGGTTTAAGTCTTTAATGAATTTTGAGTTGACTTTTTTATATTGTATAAGAGAACAGTCTAATTTCTTTCTTTTGCATATGGATATCCATTTTTGAGTACACGATTTATTGAGGAGATTATCTTTTCCCCATTGTGTGTTTTTGCTATCTTTGTGAAAAGTTAACTGACTATATAATTATGGATTTATTTTTGGTCTCATTTGTCCCATTGGCCTGTTTTTATGCTAGTACCATTCTGTTTTGAGTATTGTAGCTTTCTAGTAGATTCTGAAATCAGGTAGTGTAATGCCTATGCTTTTATTCTTCTTTTTCAAGATTGATTTAGCTCTTTGACATCATCTGTGGTTTAATATAACTTTAGAATTGTTTTTCTATATATATGAAAAATTCCACTGAAATTCTGATAAGGATGGCATCAAATATGCAGATTTCTTTGGGTAGTACAGACATTTTAACAACATTAATTCTTCCAATCCATAAATATGGGAT